TTTCATATGAAACTCCACCCCCTCCCAGCTATTCCTCGCAATGCCAATCTCTTTTGCCGGTCTGATAATGCCAAGCGCTAACAAAGTTAACTCGCGCGAGACTCTCTAGAAATTGTCCCTCCCTCTCCTCGCCCTTCCTGACCTCCCTCTTCCCGCGTCGGGTTTTGCAGCTCGTTTTTCGACCTTTACACCGTAAAGGATCCTTATTCTATTCGGGAATGAGAAACGCATGTGTAGGTAGCCTGTACAAAAGATATACTTTTCTGGATTGGACGGATTGTTAAACTTGATCTCCGTAAACAGCGAGATGACATATGACAGCGTGGCCACAAAACCGCGACATAGACAAAAGCAGTTCACAAAAGGTACCACGTCTTTCTTCCAACAAGTTTGAAAAGTTTGCCCAGGAGCGTAAATTTTCAGTCGGTTTCTTCGATAAAAAAAATATTTTAACGCGCTTATGTCCGTTCCACGCAGGTTACCTTTAATCCCGGTTTACATTACTGGTTCTCTTTTTTTAGTTCGTAAAACTAGAAAAGAATGTATAAAGCAAGTTGCACCGAGATCAAAGTTAAACTGCGTTGGTAGAAACGGGCGCATTGGAAAGGCCGCGAGGGTAAGATTAGGCAAGATTAGGGGCGCGCGATCTCGCGGGAGTGTACACCATCGACGACTTATTCGATAGAATCCGAGGCCGTCACGCAAGATTCCGGGAAAAGCCGTTTCGCACGTCTGAAACCCCTTCCGAGCGCGGCCAGCACATCGGCGGGACGGGGTGGTATGCGTGTGTTAATAAAGGCCTCCGACGTAACCGATCGTTATTAGATCGGACACTCCCTCGTCCCCGCCGCGCCTATTCGCCCCTCGCAATAACCCATAAAATGAAACATTTTGTTTCGTATGTCAATTACCCCCACTACACCTTGGCGAGGGTATACTCGACAAATATGGTAGCGGAAGACGCCGGCGTTCGCTCGCAGAGGATTTCTCGACTCGTCCTCGGCGCGTCCTCTCCTCTCCCGTAAGAAACGTTACGTCGGAAAAAAAACGGAACGGCGGCACGACACCTGAATTTCCTGAGAAAGTTATCCGGGTTCTACGGCTCGCAATTTCGCCGCTTCGTCGTTCGAAAGCGAAACGAGCGGGCCCTCGGTCCCGAGTCCGTCCAACGCGCCTACGTTCGATTTTATCGCGATGCCGCGGAAAGTACGGCGGAATCTCGCCATCTGCGAGGGAACGAGGGTTGATCGGATGGGTGTGCTTACGCGCGCCGTGCGTGATTTTTATCGCGACATCTCTCGCACGCTTTTTTCCACGGGGAACGCGCGTACAGGCGATACCGCGTAACGCCCGTACGCGACGAAGCGAATGGCTACTTTGGCTCGTTGAAAGCAACATGCGATGGCCACTGTTGCTCGTCGCGGTGCTACTTCGCCACCACTACTTGGACGAGTCCGCGGTATGGCGCGGCACGGCGCGACGGCGGCCGTTATAAAAATAACTGCTGATTGGACGCCCTACCAAGAAAAGTCGTAATCGCATCCTGAAACGTTCCCTTCCTCCCCTCTGTCTCTCTCTCTCTCTCTCTCTTTTCTCTCTTTGTCCGTCCCTCTTCCTTTCTCTCATTCCCCTTTTACTCTCTCTCTCTCTCTCTCTCTCTCTCGCTATTTTATCTTCCCGAGCATTCACTCCCGCTGTTTTGTATCGTCCCTCCCTTTCTCGTCAATCTCGCGTCGAAGAATATTATGTCGCGTAAGAAGGGTGAACGTATCTTCGCAAAGTTCTCTGCTTCTTTACGTTGTTACGAAGATTCCAGATAAATAACAAGAATAGAGACTTACTGTCGCCAGTAAAGAATTAACCAGTGTCGGCAATTAATAATGGACGCAACTGACAAATTCTAGTTAAAGAAATTTATTGCGGGAAACATTACCTCGGCCAGGTTGGAACCTGGACCTCCCTACACTCTAGGCGGGCGTCTTACCAATTCGACCACTGAGGCATTCGAGGTAAAGTTTGGAAAGTGAAGCAACGTGATTTTTTCGACTCCTTCCCCGCTTTACTTCGCTCTTTTATCGCTTTCTATCGTTTAATCGATCATAGAGGAACAGTGTTTGGTCTTGAACATTGAACGAGAAAGCTCGATGCTTTGCCGGGTTTGAACCTGGACCTCCCTACACTCTAGGCGGGCGTCTTACCAATTCGACCACCGAGACATTCGTGATAAAGTTTGGAAAGTGAAGCAACGTGATTTTCTCGACAACTTCCCTGCTTTACTTCGCTCTTTCATCGCTTACTATCGTTTAATCGATCATAGAGGAACTGTGTTTGGTCTTGAACATTGACCGAGAAAGCTCGATGCTTTGCCGGAACATTGTATCACGAGGGACCTGACGAAGCTAACGTAGACAGCGAGAGGACAATGATCGATGCAGAGGAGTCTCGCGCGATACAAGGGACGAGAGGGAACGTCTATCGGCCGCCATATTGCGCAGCCTTTATCGCCGCGTCCTACATAGGAACATTAAGCGCGGGTTGCCGGGTTGCGCGTATATCAACAATAATTGCAGGGCCAATAATAAAGCCGAAGGGAGCACGCTCGATAGCCCGAAATTGCTGGTTCCCCTACCCCGAGGAGCGCGGTTTTATTGCCTCCTCTCGTCGGTCAGAAATGGCGGCAGCCCCCTTCATCGTCCTCGATGGCGGATAAACGATCCTGCGATACGGCGCCGCGCCGCGCCGCGCCACGCCACGCCACGCCACACCGCGCCGCGAATGCGCGCCTCTCCTCCTCCTCTCATTGTCCGTATCTGCGCCTGTGTTGTCTGGCGCGTCCGTATAACGCGCTCTCCCCGTGTACCGAGGCATCCCGTACAGAATCGTTCGCGAGCTCGTAAAGAGCCGCAAAAGCGGGCTCCGCACGCGCGATAGTCGCGAGTATTGCCCTTGTTAACGCCCCGTTAACTCGAACCTCTGGACAAACTCGTAAAATTCGCCGGCTCCGTGGAAAGCGGCGGCCACCGCGCGGCGAGGGAGTCATCGGGGAATTTCGAGCCTCGGGGTCGAGCGCGCGACGGGACGCAAGGTTCAAACATAAAAAAAAAAGGACGAAAATAGGAGATCGAGTTACCGATGCGCGCGCTCGATGACGCAAGGAGCGCATTAAATGTGAAAAGAGCCCGAGCTGGAAATTATATGTTTATTTTTATCTCCGCGAGATAAAATGCGCTTCGAGCGTTTCGGGCATTACTCCGGGTTCTAGCCAGTTTCGTGAAAGATTTTCAATCGTTGGCTCATTTCAGACACGTCGCTCGGGCGCCGTTTATGCGCGACTCTAAACCTCAGATTACGCCAACTCGAAAGCTCGTAAAGGTGCGTTTACGTTTACGTAGTTGAAGCGCACGATAGTCGCGAGCGCTGCTGCTCTTGTTAACACTCCGTTAAGTCGTGGCTCGGGCAGCCTCGTAAAATTCGATGGCCTGGCTACCATAGTAGGCGGCGGTAATACGCGCACGAATTAACCGGAGAATTTCTTCGTATCTGTCTGAATGTCGCTCGACGACGAGTATTGCTCTCGATATTACGCGCCAACGGCTTTACACGCGTGGCATTACGTAATTTCCAACAAATATAGCACGCGCTGTATTCCGCACAGACGCGCTTTTCTCTCAAACGACTCGATTAATTTTTACAGATAAGATCAAGGCATCCTAGATGTTGCCAAAAGCGGAACTTGTTGCGAATTTCCATCAGAATTCGCGAATACGCGAATGCCATTTGCATCGTCGTTCTATCGAGCGAGAGCTCGTAAAAAAAATTGCCCGCGAGCAACCAATCGATAATTTTTAACACAACCGCTTCGATACTCGTCGTATTTTCCACTTCGTTCTCTACTCTTGATCCGCCGTATGCTTTCTCTCTTTGTTCCGTATCTGTTATATCTGGCGCGATGCGCCCTGAGGAAGATCGTAAAAGACTGCGCCACTCGCGTGATTGTTGCGAATTCGTTATTGCTCTTGTTAACGCCCCACGCTGGATATCTCTGGACAAACCTCGTAAAATCCAGCGGTTTTACGCTAGTCGTACTTTAAGACGATCGCAAAATCTGCCTCGGCTGATCACGCAATGGTAAAGGATGGTTCGCGTCACCTACGGTCCGATTATCTCAGTCGTTGATTGATTTGACGAAATCTCGAGGTAGAAATCCCTTACAATTAATAGAGGAGAGTCCCCTATTATGCGATAGGATCCTAATATGGGGTAGTTTCTGTTAAATTAATAGGCACCGTCGGTTGTTTCCACCATGAATTTATTGCTCTTGGGGCGAAATCTGTTTGGTGGAAATTCATTGTTAGATCGTGTAATCCTGAGAAGAAAGACTTGTGATTGAATTTGCGCTGTCTCATATTATAAATCTATCTCATAATAGACTTTTCTCTATTAAAGTCTCTTTACATTTCTGAGTATTCGTTAAAATCGTCATTTTGTCTTGAGCGTGTTTACATAAGAATCGCGTTTCCTGGATTATAATACACGTATAATACCCGAACCACTTCATTGTTGAGGGGATCGCAAGGAAATAAAACATTGTGTAATTTTTATGCGCGGAAGAGGTAAACTGCACGTTTAACGTGACAACGATAAAATTTCGTATTGTAATTGATTTTTAAAATTACTCGGCATTACAGCAAAACGTACTTGGCGGAAAAGTGCCTTGTTTCGTTCCTTGTTAGATAGTTTGCCAATTTAGCAAAATGATTTTTCAACTTGAATAAAATTAGTATTCCGAGCAAGCCTCGTTGCTGCCTATATAATAACTGATGAAGTTTGCTAAGGTAGCATAAAATATGCTGTGCCAGCAGGTTATTTTTCCCAGTGTGTATTTATATAACGCGTCTCACGCGTTGCGCAAATTGAAGTCTTTTTTTTTCCGAAGTGAACAACGTCGCGTTTCGATATCAAACGTGTATATGTAAAGTGAAATTATTTCTCTCTTGCAGGAACACCCATTAGCCGACTTCCTATCATGGCGAAATCCGTATTGGATCTCTACGAGCTCTACAAGCTAGTGGTGCACCGAGGCGGGCTGGTCGAGGTGATCAACAAGAAGCTGTGGCAGGAAATCATCAAAGGTCTCAAGCTGCCAGCGAGCATCACTTCCGCCGCGTTTACTTTGCGAACTCAGTAAGTAGATCGTGAAGTTTCTCATCCGGGACCCCGGTCTTGCCCGTGCAGACGTGATGCCCAGGCCCGCCGTAATTCGCATACAATAAGTCGCAGCTGACGAGGAGTCGTCCGAGCGTGAAATCTGTGGCAATGACTTAAGGCCGAATCAGACCAGCAATTGTCGACGCGGATTGGATTGGCGATTGTCTTCTAGCCGAAGCAGCCAGCGATTTAATCGACTCTGATTGGCCAGAGGACAATCGTCAATCGCCGACTCCAATCCAATAGGCCGAATCAGACTAGCAATTGCTGACTCGGATTGTCCTCTAGCCAATGAGAGTCGATTAAATCGCTGGCTGCTTTGCTCTCATTGGCTAGAGGACAATCGCCAATCCCGATCGAATCCGCGTCGACAATTGCTAGTCTGATTCGGTCTTTAAGCGCGTCGTCCCGTCAAGATGTTCGCGTTCGATAGAGCTATCCGACAGCGGAACGACCATCCGCGCGAGTAATTTGCCGTCGTTGAGTCGCGTCGTCGGCACACGGTTCTCCGTCTCTGAGCGTTCCGCTGAATAAATATGTATCTTCGTAATTGATTCGCGAATCAAAGCTGCGTCCAATTAAGAAGTCCAATTAGGGACGGTTTACCGTCCTGGTATATTAGCCAGTAAAATCAAACCTTGTGACGACGGTGTCGCGCGGGTCCGCGTGTTATTGCGCGCTCGCTGTCGACGAGAGGAGATAAAACAACGTAGGTGACGAGTCGGAGGCGTGACATACAGGTGCATCGTCTTAGCCGACGTGTCGTCCACGTCGTCCAAGGGTCCCCCGTGCGATCCCTCACCGGGCGGGACACCTCGCGCGGGGCGGGTTGTGACAACCTGGAACCGTTGGCACGATATATATTCGTTTATATAATACCGGGCATATCCAGCGCGGGCGACGAAGATTTATCTGCCGTTCGCGGTGTCTCGTCTCCCCGCGCGCGGGGACGGGAAAGGACGAGAGGTCTCTAAATAGAGATTCGTCGGCGAGATTCGGAGAGACGACGGCGCGAGGCATCCCGCTCATCTCGCCGCGCAGAAGGGAGGTGGGACGGACGCGAAAATGCGGACCGGGCCGGGAGAAGAGGGATGGAGCACGCCGACACATTATAAGCGCGGGCTAATATGAATTACACGGCCGCGATGCTAGGGGTGTGTGCTCGTGAAAATAACTCCGCGCAACGCGCTTTGTGCACGATGGAACGTCGGCGTCGTGTCGCGTCTCGTCGCGTCGCGTCGCGTCGCGCCGCCTCGCCTCGCCTCACCTCGCCGCGGTCGCGCATCCATCATTCCGGCAACCGGCTATCTTTCCTCGACGATATGTACGCGAGATAGAGGAGAAAATACGAAAATACTGTCGGCTCCAACAAAATCCCGCTCGCGACAGAGTTCATCTGGCAAGAATCGGTGTCGATTAACTTGAACCCGCGACGTCTCTCCGTCTCTCTTGCTCTCTCTCTCTCTCTCTCTTTTTTAGGAGCACAGGCTAATTATATCCGTTTGGCGCTTGGTACCTTTTCGGGAGAAAAATTTGAATGAAATTTATCTCAACGCTGTAATGTACGATACTATTTTTTTCTTACTGAATTTCTTACGAGAACCTATCAGGATTTAGCTTTAAGGTCGAATCGGACTAGCAATTGCTGACTCGGATTCCATTGGGATTGGCGATTGACGATTGTCTTCTAGCCAATAAGAGATTAAATCGCTGGCTGCATTTGACTCTTATTGGCTAAGGGACAATCGTCAATCGCCAATTCCAATTTAATCCGAGTCAACAATTGCTAGTCTGATTCGATCTTTAAGTCACCTGATCGAAAACTGCATCCCGATTGGCTCTCGTCGGCAATTCAGTTGGAAAAATAGTATCGTGTTCCGTTGGCTTAATTTTTTACGTCGTACAAGATTGTAGAACGATTCCTTTGAGACGAACTCGAGGGAATGAAAGGCGCTTTGAAATTCTTATTACGATACTTTGGCTGCTTTCCTCTCAGAGAACACAGTCGACATTTTTGACACAAATCGACACATGTCGCCTTCCATTTAGAATCTAATTCAAACTCAATCGACACTTTCGACTCTGCTCAGGTGGAGAGGGTGTTTTTGACCGAAGATCGAATCTTTTCTCGACAGAACCTTTTCCTAAAATCTTGTTTAAATCTTTGCCACAGTGACAAACTGTGCTCGAGTGCGTTAACTTGTGTCGATTTGTGTCTCCTGAAAGGAAAGCAACCTTCGAATATTTAAACATTTTAAACGCACTGCAATTGCTCGATTTCATTACTCTGAAAGAATGTACGCTTGATACGAGTACTTTGCCGATAGGTACATGAAATATCTGTATCCGTACGAGAGAGAGAAGGAAGCACTATCGACGCAGGAACAACTCCAAACGGCGATCGAGACGAATCGTCGCGAGAGTCGCAGGAACCATTACACTTACACCAACAACGAGAACGCGGTGGTTGGTACACGCAGTCATGTCAACACGATGTCGCAGAATCCGATACCGTTGCCGCTCACCATGGCCCAAATGGCAGCGGTGGCTGCGAACGAGTCGCAGCACCACGTCGCAAATGGACATCTCCACGCTCCGCAGCATCATCTTCCGCCAAACATGCCAACGTCTAGTCAACGTAAGTTTCGATCCCTTTTTTGCCTTCCTCGGGAATGGAACTTGTTCGCGCACGTGCGAGTTCCGTTGGATTAAAAATCGATTTTCGTTATCGGTACGCGCGTTAGCTCTATCAGCGCAAAGTTAATAGCTCCCCGTCTGTCTGTCCCCCGATATCTTTTCAAGTGAAGGGTGTAACTCGTAACGCCGTAATTGGAAATGGAAAAAGAGTCTAGAGGAAAGAGCAAAAATGAGAAACTTGCCGACGCGACGGTAGGGAAGATATCAGGGGACGGAATAGAAAAAAGAACGGAGGAAGGAAACGGGAGGAGGGTAGAGTATACACGGGTTTATTTTAAATCGGTAGGTAGTGCTCCGGGCCTCCCCGGAGATGATGATGCGAGAGCGAAGGAGGCATAATTGATTGTACGATCCTCCGGAAGACAGGCGTTAACGGATGGCTCTCGCTAACGAGCATTCCTATTTCCCTACCCTTTTCTCCCCTCTTTCCACCTCGTCGCTGCGTCCGACAGCGATCTGGGTAACGTCGCGCTTCGATCGCACTCGTAGCTCTCCTTCGATCGTTTCCTTGTGCGACATGGCCGGATATACCTTGGCGATATTGCCGCTCGCCGAGGTATGAAAAATCCTGCTCTCTAAAAGTCAATCAGTGGATTATCACTGAACACAGTGAATACTCGCTGATTTACTGCAATTTTCAGTAACATTCACTGTTTTCGGTGATAATTCGCTGATTGACCTTTAGAGAGTAATATCAACGAACATCCAGAATATCGCGATTCAGGTGTTCGACGATCCATTGCGAACGTTGCATTTTAACGTAATCCACAGTTACAGATAAGCTCAAAAGTTCATTGTAGTGATTTCATTTTAATGAATAACGAATCTTGAGTTTCCGTTCCTCGTCAACGAAACGTCGACTTGGAGTATCAAGGTTTTGATCGTTTTATAGCTTATACAAATGTATCGTCGAATAATGGAACAAGTAAAGCTGCTTCAATTTAGCAGATAATAGGTCTGTTTGTGTTGCTTGCACTTGTTGCACTTAAAATCTTAGCTTTCTTTCTCTCCCCAATGCCCAATATATATTTATCTCATTTTAAAGTTCTGGTATTTTGGGGGATTTCAAAGGACACGAACGAGCTTAATGTTGAGTTCCTATTTTTCAAAACTCTTGCGAGCAAAATTAAGATTTTTCCGTTCAGTTATTTTTCATCTTAGAACAATTATTATTTTCTAAATGTTACAAATTATTTTAATATTGTTTTGAAGTGAAGCATAAAAACTCGTAAAAAAATGATCATTAAATGATATAAATTTGATTCATCTTACGTATGTTTGGTATTATCGATTATTCTTCATAATTATCCCATCATTATAATTCCAAATGGTAACTGCCAAAGATGCATAACTAATTAAATCGCTCCAACTTTCAGTCTCAGTTCCAAATCAATTATATTGCAATTGCGTATATTAGGTGTTTAATTTCGAACTTATGTACAGTTTCAGAGTACATGATGAGAATAATGAGAGACAGAGGCACAATTTCTAATAATTCGATGCTGCAAGGTAACACATCGACTCCACCGCCTGTAATGCCTGAAGGATATAAAGCGGGATTGCAATTTTGGAGTACAGTGTACAATCCGGGCAACAATAACATGTATCCAACAGGGTTGACACAGCCACCCTATTCTCCATCGTCGTCCCACTCACCAATAGCTGCGGTAAATAGCCCCGAACCACAGAGAGAGGCCTTGGATCTCGCGAACTCTGGACACAGGTAAATAAGAGTTCTCGACTTTAACGAACAGGGAGGAAAATCTGTAATTTAATAATAAAATAACAAAAGTTCTTCGATTAGGTTGGACTCAGTCTCGTCTCCAACTAATACGTCGGTAAATTCACCACCGGGTGCGGAAATGAAGAGAAGCGCAGAGACTGCTGAATTTACACCTTCAACATCTAGTAAAAGAATGATAGTATCCGATGATGTAGGAAGCCTTAATATACCTTCTTTACGTATTAGCCAGCAAGTTAACACAAGAGGTAAGAGGCTCTAGGTTTGTTAGTAGTTTAGGTTAACTTTTTATACAGATTTAAATTTTCTAAACAAAGTTACGATGGTTAAATGTAATAGAAGATGATATGGGCAATGTGAGCTGAACTTGGGTGAACGAAATTAAAACGATACAAGGTGAACAGTTGTATATTTTAGTTACATGAGGTACGATTCGAACGTTTCGGACACGTTTTTATACAGATACTGCGATGAGATATAATTTCTTTTATCGAAGTCATAGTAATCTCTTTACACGTAAAGATATTAAATTTACGTTACTCGTAAAGAAACAAAGTGTTTATTGAAATTTTTTTCCTTTTTAGAGAATGGACGAAAGGAACTAGAAATTAGTATAAATATTGATGGTACTTTGTATGAAGGCGTCCTGCCAGCTAAACCTACTAAGCGCGACGACAGTAGTACCCCGTCAAGCCCTAATAATGATGAGAAAGGGACACAAGATAACGAATCGTGAATATTTTACAGACGTGAGTTCATATGAAATAAATTAGCCTCAAAGAGTCTAATTAATAATTCTGCTTTTCAAACACAACATTCGTTCAGTCATTATAGACATTTAATATGAAATAAAAGAAAGGAAAGAAAAGACTTTCCAGTACTTACATATTGAAATATTTAATCATAGCTTAATGTTTCGTTATAGAAGGTTTGCTAGAATTGGCAATCCTTGTGAATATGATTTGACAATCTGGCATTTTCGATAAAAAATTTTAATCGGAAACCAAACAAATCACCATTCCGTTTGCTTACTATGCAATGTTGCAAATTATTATTTCGGACATTATCCAAATGTCCATAATGCCTGAATATCTTGATTATGTTTGAAGTGCAGAATTATTGCGCTCGGAAATCAACAGTTCCCGAGTAATTCTAGTATATAAATGTACATATATATAATAACTTTTTCATATAGGAACTGATAAAAAACAAATCTTCATGAGCAACAAAACTTTAATAATAAATACTTATAACTATAAAACTAAATTATACGTATTTAGTGTATATAATTACTGTTATTATATAGAAGAATAATTGTGTTGCTCCATTGCTATACTCCACTTTTTATTACGGATAAAAATTTATAAATCATTTGTAGGGATTTAGATATTTTTATTGGTATTGAGATATCAGTGATCTTTTTTACCAAAGTGAGATTTGTTTATAAACTGCAGTAATTAAGATATAATGTGATATTAGTTGCAGAGAACATTAAATGTAATGATTATGATAAATAATATCTATGTAAATACAAAGAGATTTTGTGACTATTACATACGGAATGCACTAATGGTGTCCCGTGTGCTCGTATTTGACAATCAAATTTCACTATGATACTTATAAATAACACATATTTATGCTTAGAATTTGTTCAATTGTGAGCTCCAAACATGACTACCGTTACTATTGGTTTATCTACTAACTATGGTTCAATACACTTCATACATCCAAATGACAAAAAAAAATAAGCGAACTACATATCATGAAGTATCTCCTTAATATAAATTCACTGGATACCATTAATGTATTCAGTTGTACTTTCTAATGTATTTTGACTATAGATTTTTATCATCGGAGTATGCGCAATCGGAGTATAAATACATATCTTACACAATATATTCATTTTATGTCTAAAAAGCTGAGGTAAATATTGATACAACTTTATATAAGTTAGTCAAATTAGTTATACCAATATAGTTATAATAATTGTGGACACTATGAAAGACTTTGATTTTTCAAAATATTAGATTATAGAGTATAGTTAGATATCGAATATTGTAAATATTATTTTGCAGCTTTTATATGTATGTACATATGCCTATGGTACTACAGTTGTACATTTTTCTAGTACAGTTATTTTAAATAGTATTAGTGTCAATATTGATTCTTACAATCGAAATTATAATGGCATAAACATTTTTAATTCTCAGTGTATCTATATTAGATGATTTCAAATGCAAGATTTTTCTGCTTATTTTATGGTAAGTTTTGCACTTGTAAATACGAGGATTAAAAATAATTTTGTGCCATTTCTCTGTCATATTTTTTTCATTAAGATCTACCGTTTATCTGAAAATATCACGTTAATTTAACCTATTAAACTATTAAATTATGCGAATTATAAAACTAAGAAAACTATACGTGCGTGCGTACATGTGTACATGCATGCATGCGTCTCTTTTATACTAATTTAGATCATTTTATTCTTTTTTTTAAGATTACTATTATGAAAATCAAAGCTTTTTATATGCAATATTCTTTAAGTATTTCATAAGTTATTCTTTTTGCAAAACAATCAATGTAAAAAATACTATCATACATATATTTCTTCTTTCCTAATACATGATTTCATATACATAAAATTGATTACAAAATGTAAATTTTTCAAGAAACGTACACTTCAAACTTCTTATATACTCTTTAAAGGATAGAACATCTAAATTGACAATTTGCGTGAAGGCAAAATTGCAAATAAATGGACATGATTGGACAATGGACAATTAACTCTCAAAATTGATTCCGCAATTATTTGGAGGATAAACGTGTAATGCCTAACGCAATATTACGTATTATGGAAAACAGCATTTTTGTAATAAACATAAAGTTAGTTTTGGAGTATTAAATAATTTTGAATTGATTTCTTTTGATACTACTTAATCGCGCAACGTGTCACAATTCCTTTGATTTAATTTAGGATATTTTTCGTTTCATCTTTGGCGCGTACATAAAAAAATTTCCAGAAATAAGTACACGGAAATGACAGTTGATAATTATCTAAATTATCTAAAAAATTATCTAAATTATCTAAAAAAAAAGAAGAGAGAAAATCCATTACCATTTCGTAATATTTTTAATAAATTCTATTACAAATTAATGTAACAAACATTCGTTGATATAATGACAATAGATATTTATATATGAAATATCATGAATCTCTCCCTCTTTCTCTCTTTCTCGCTTTTCCTTTTTTTCCTTTTCTTTCTCTCTCTGAATATAAATAGATATGATGCATTTCTAAAGTTATTAAAGTAGAAAGTAATTATTATATATTAAGAATAGTTATAAGGTCAGTTATAAGGGTCAGTTATTTGTCAAAACCAAGATTTCTCTTATATGAATAAAACATTCTTAGCCATGATAATTAAAGTGTACACTTAGCAAACATATTAGTTACTTAAAAAAAAGGACTTGTTAAGGCTATTCCTATGTATGCAAACATATTAGTAGGACGTGAGATAATGGTGGAACAATTATAGCAAGATACAAAAATTAATGTTATTATCAAATTGTACAATTTTTCAGAGACTAAACTCTGAAAGATTTCTACTATTATATAATATTTAAAGTTTTATTAAAAGACTGACATGATTTTTTAAGTATATTTAAAAATGTTTTAAGTGCAGAAATGATAAGTACTGTACAATCTCGTTAATCCGACATTATTAAAAAGATTGTACCGCATTAAAGGGTTTCCCGGTTTGCTGGAATTGTAAGGAATATAGAAGGTGAATAAAAAAAAATATTATAATTGTGTATGGCACACACTACTATTTGATATTTCATACAAAAATGTATTGTTTAGGAAAATACTTTTTAACATATGTTTGCCTCATTGCAACTATCTTTGCGTTAAACAAAATGTTTTGGAAACCCGCAGCAGTGGGTTGCTACATGTACAAGATTATGGGCTACATTAGCCAGATTGTACCGTAATGTTAATTTTAGTTAAGTTTTAGTTAATTTAAGTTACAATTATTATCACATAATATTGTTTGATTAAAAAATAGCAAGATCTTCTCGGTATTGACATAGCAGTAAGAAACGGTCTAGCATCTTTTAAATATATCTGATAAAAATGCAAAAACTCATATCTTCCCTCAAATGTTACGCACAAAGTCACACGTGAATTGGAGATAAAGAAATCTTATTCTACACACGTTTTTATAATTTCTTTTTCGTATTCTCGTATATTTCACGATAGTAACAAGAACCCACTTGAACAGGGTATTATTAAAATAATATTACAGCTTTAATTTTGATGTTTCACAGCTGTAGACATATTTAGATATTATATAATTAGAATATTAAATTGAAATATCAAATAACACGTTTATCGCTCAATTCTAAGTAATAAGTTTACAATGAAAAGAAGAGAATCGTTCTTCATGTTACCCCAGTCTATATCGAATCGAATGAGCGGTATGAACGACATAGTTTGTTGAACTATGCACAATGGACGTTTCATGTGTCTATATTTATATAACATCAAAATTAAGTTATTTTGAGTGTAAATTTCTATTTGAAATATGCTAGGCGCTTACTGCCAGAGAGAGAAAGGTAGCATAGTTGCTAGAATAGTTATTAGAAAGTGTTGCTTATGATATTATAAGATTATATAATTAATGATAATTATCGTTATTATATTATCACAAAGAATTGTGAATAATAATTAGTAATTAAAATAATATTTTGTCATACCTTTATTATTTTCCATGTCACATCTTAAGAACTAATATATAAATTTCACAAGTTAAAAAACCTCGACCATATTGGAAATATCATTGAAATATAAATGGATTGAAGAGCACGTTAATAAGTGTGCCTAAGTAAAACGAGAATTTTCGCTTCTATAGTACTTTTAGCAATCTTCTATCTAAATATGTTATCAGAATAACTAAAATGATTTTCTTCAAGATTTAGGAAACTGTAAAACCAATTCTCACTTATCGGCATATTTCTTTCTAACCTCTCCGATCTTCTGAACATCTTGGTTTGTGAAATTGGTCCTTATTATACATTTCTTTCAAAGTATCAGGAGAACGTAATCGGCAAAGAGATCGTACTATCTAAAATTTCACGAATTTTTCAAAATTTCCAAGAATTGGAATTTCGAATTTCAAATCGCGAAAATCCAGAATCCCGAAAACTGACAAAGTATCAGGAGAACATGGTCAGCAAAGAGGTGGCACTATCTAAAATTCCAAGAATTGGATTTCCGAGAATTTCTACATTCAAATCGCGAGAATCGAGAAAATAGCAAAGTATCAGGAGAACATGATCAGAAAAGAGGTGGCACTATCTAAAATTCCAAGAATTGGATTTCTGAGAATTTCATTCTTCAAAATGCCAAAATCGAAAATCGCAAAACTGAAGAAGTATCAGGAGAACATGATCAGAAAAGAGGTGGCACTATCTAAAATTCCAAGAATTGAATTTCCAATAATTTCCAAATTCAAATCGCGAAAATCGAGAATCGAGAAAATGACAAAGTATCAGGAGAACATGATCAGCAAAGAGGTGGCACTATCAAAAATTCCAAGAATTGGATTTCCGAGAATTTCCAAATTCAAATCGCAAAAATCGATAATCGAGAATATGGCAAAGTATCAGGAGAACATGGTCAGCAAAAAGGTGGCACTATCTAAAATTCCACGAATTTTTCAAAATTTCCAAGAATTGGAATTCCGAGAATTTCGATCTTCAAATCGCGAAAATCCAGAATCCCGAAAACTGACAAAGTATCAGGAGAACATGAGCGGCAAAGAGGTGGCACAATCTAAATTTCCAAGAATTGTAATTCAAAAAATTTCAAATTTCAAATCGCGAAAATCGGGAATCTCGTAAACTGGCAAAGTATCAGGAGAATAGCAAAAAAGGTGGCACTATCTTTCATCTGAAGTAGTTTGGACATCAACCATAGCATGGACACGAACCATGACTATTACCGAGCGTAACTGACATAAAAAGTTGACGACTACTTTCTAAGGGTGCGTATTTGTATCTGAAGCTTGGTGGAGGCCGCTCTCCTCAGATGTTTGTTTGTTCGTTAATACATACTTCTGGTAAACACATACATACATAATAGCGAAACGACAATAAATATTACTTATTCGTTTATTTCATAAAGCAAATATGTACAATTTTTATTACGTTTTTATTGAATTAGTTTACATGTAGATTTCAGTTTACGCGAACAATTGCCGCGTTCTCTTCAGGCTAATTCTCTTAGTGCCAATCGATAAAGAGATAAAGTGAGAAAGAGAGAGGGGGAGATACCTAAGCAAAAACACAGAGACTTAATTTGTACACGTTCAAGATTTAATTATTAAAGTTACGATTAAACACGAAGAAGACACATAAATCATTAATCAGTTTTGTGCGCTTACATTATGGACGTCGGAAACGGAGAGATAATGCACCGTGTTTCGGGCCCGTCCGTAATATCCCGAATACAATCTGCCCCTCTCGTTCTGTAAATCGATCTACTTTGTAACAATAGAAAACAATTATTTACATTGACGGCTAGGAAAATTCAAGAACGATAAACATGTCCTGGAAATCTTCTGCGAGTGTGTGTGTGTGTGTGTGTGTGTGTGTGTGTGTGTGTGTGTGTGTGTGTGTGTGTGTGTGTGTGTGTGTGCGTATATATTATACATGTATGAATGAGGATATCGCGCCTCTGTTTGTCTTTTATATCCAAGCTCCACTCTATTTCCTTCCGAAATACTTATATCGTTGCATGCCGAACAGAAACCATATACGATAACGGACAACGCGAAGGGACTCGAGATGGGATCTTTGCACTTCAAAATACACTGTACAGGATAATCGTTTATCGTGATGATTCTAACTGGGCTGGGAATTCCGAAATTCAAATAAAAAAGTTACAGAGGGAAACATCTTTTATTATTTAATATAATCTACCATTCTCGAATTACAAGATAAAACTGCACTTCTTTTTTTAGAAGGAATCATATATTCTTTCAAACGTAATTCTTTCCGTTACTCTACACGTAAAAGCATTACAGTAAAATAATGTCTTCTCATGACAGCTTCTCAATAATAACGTGTATTATAATATTTATTCCAGAAAATACTTAAAAAAACGAATTCCAACTTTTATATAAAATAACGAAAAGAATCAATTTACTAAAAAAACATTCTATTTTTAAAAATGCAGTTGCGTCTGCAAGTCGATACGCAAAATAATCATAGAATAGTAGATTGTACTAAACAATGAAAATTTTTTCTCTACCACTTTTGTTTCTATTTTGACTTACAAAAACTATAATCCAGTTGTCATGAAAATCACTCTGATGTACATCTTTAGCATGAAATCAATATGAAATATTATTCAGTTGTGAGATAAAACAACATATTTCAAATCGTGTTACTTTAAATAATTACACTTTTCCGGGCTGAGTTTCCGTAACACGTTGCTAAAAATACACAAACGAATAGTATCGTTTTGGTAATGATTTCGGCGCAAGTTTTACAATTTGCGAAACCGTTCATTAGTTAGATTAGGACGACTAGCAGTCTAACAAAGGAGTTCGTTATTGAAACGTTCGGGTACCAATTTTTCTTGAAAAATGGTAGATTGTTCTTATCTTTCCCAGCATCGTTTGTCAAACTTTTACCGCTACTTAAAGATAAAACGAGAGGTCAGAAATTAATAAAAAGTTGAATGAAAACGTGAATATTTGGAGTAACGATTTAATCGCTGTATAATCTCTTTGATATCATGAAAACGTCCCTATACGATATGTAGTAACGAATCATATATACAAAGCGAACAAACATTTCGAAGGACAATTCACTGGCGCGCGGTATCGAGCGTACAAATATCATGCGAATGCAACGATTACGAGATGCACATGGTTCTAATCTAAAATATCGTGGAAATAAAATAAACTGATAAAATCACTAACTGGATAAAAAACAAAAAATAACAATTCTACTTTGTTCTCGTCGCGAGAGAAATATGTTTTTCTTAAGTAAATTATTAATAAGGAAATGTTAATTATGTCAAAATTTAACGTGACACGCGACACTCGCACTTAATCATTTTAAACTAAGCAGTTTATACCAAAAGCATTTATATCAAAAGTCACAAGTCTATTAATATATTCTTCGTTATTGTTCAAGTTCTTTTGGGATCCTCGTTGCTTTGAGAATTCGTCGCGTCCTCGTCGGAAGTGTCCTCGAAAATGGATCAGTCAATTGAATTGTCTCGGCTGCCGATTCATCGACTTCCTGGACCTCTTAATGGAAATGGATCCGGTTGCCAATGACCATAGCGATCACGAGATCTAGTAGCTACACTGTCGTCAACACCAGAAGAAGTTTCAAAAGAAGATTCCAGATATTTCCTTGTAATCTCTCCTAAATTTCTCAATGAATTGTCACTCCTCGCGAAAAAAAAGATCTAAAGTTTAACGGTAAAAGCGTTTTCATTAATATTTAATTTATATACCAAAACTCTGTCTCCATTCTATAAATTGGATAGATTAATAGATCTATTAGCAGATTTTTGGAAACTAGCGTTCACATAGGCGATTCTCAAAAACAATATTGATCCACTCCGAGCTCTCTACTGTGGGAAACTGAACTTCAAGCTTACAGAGTCTCACTATATTTATGAGTTTTGCAATACATTGCATTTGCTTGCACCGAAGTACAATGAGTTATGCTTAATCATTAATTTTTTTAGAGCGTTTGACGATTGCGAGTACGTATTCCGATTGATTTGTTCCACTAAGGAAAACAGTCTTAACTTAAAACAAAATTGAGTTATGTTCATATTGTTCATATGGTTACCGGAATTGTTTTCTAGAGTTTTTCTAGGTAAAAAAAGACTTATCTTTATTTTCAATGCTTTTAAATTACCAACCAATTGGCTGAACTGGAAATAGTTTTTGTTATCGTTACTATGTAGTTAGAATATATTTAAAGTTTACATGAAGAATATGAATTAGCTCCATTCGTAGTAAAATTACCACAATTTATTAATTAATTTGTTGGTTAATACAAATGTATAAGTAATAAACTCTGAAGTTACGAAATAATTTAATACGTTAATGTAGTCAACCAGTACTAAATTTGATCCTGAACATTTTTTATTTCTGGAGTTAAAACTGTTTTTCTTAGGAGGGCAGTAATGTTGCAATAACAACAAATTGCTATTGTAAAATGCTAATTGACACATTTTGCAGATTTAGATTGCAACATTTGCAAACTTTATATCCTTTTACTGGTCTTTATTATTAAATCGTTTATTACACTGAAAATGGTCTAATGACAGATCGAAGCATTTTTATTAAATTTTAATTTCATTAACACCCTGATGTGGCGCGCTCTCTCTGAGTCTCTTATTCATATTCCTTCTTTAAAAAACCTATTACAACTTAAAAATCTGCCTTGCTAATGGTAAAAGCAAAGAGATTGAGCGGATAAATCGTTTTCTGAAAATCCACTAATGATGATATTAATTCACTGAGGTTGTACAATGAAGAGAGATAGGGAGAAAAGTTGGTATGTAAATTAAATATTAATAAAATCACTTTTACCGTTAAATTTTAAATTACAAAGACTTTTTCCTTCCGCAGGAATGCAGACAAGATTATAAGACAATATTTAGGAACTGCAAACATGCTATTCCATTG